GTGGAGTGTCTTTTAAGACGACCCAGTCCTTGCCTATGGGAAAAAACAAACCTTTATTTCCTGCTGACGGTCATGTTCCTGCCCATGTTCATGCAGTCCAGCCTCTGCTCTCTGACCTTTGTCCCTAGTTAGGCAACTCCAGCCAGACTCTTGCCTTTAGCCGTTTGAGGCATGTGTGAGTCAGGTGTCAGTCTACATGTTAAGCTCTTGTAGTCATTTTCTGATACAACCCCATCTCCATAAGCTTCCAAAAGGTGGCAGAAAAGAAATCTATACAATTAATTTTCTAAAGTAATCCTTAACTCACTCTATTTAATCTTTCAAGTCTCTTCTCATTGTGAGCTAGGGGCAGAAAAAGTCATTTTCTTAGCTTACTTGTATTATATTCAAGGCAGGCATTTTACTTTAAAATGTAGGGGTCATTAGTATTCATTGTTTCCATTGTGTTTCCAGCCAAAACTTAAGAGATAAGAAGAGCCCCATTACAGAATCATATTCTATATGTATTGTATCATTTAATCCTAACCACCTTGTGGAGCAGTGTTATTATCATTCTCATTTTAGAGTTGATAAAAGTAAAACACAGAGGTTAAAAAAAGTGGCTGGAGATCTCACTCTAGACTATTATATAACATAAGCATTTAAGTACCCAATATAAGTTTAGTATTCATTAATAATCCATTGTCTTCGAGTCGATTCCAATTCATAGCAACACTATAGGACAGAGTAGAGCTGCCCTGTAGGGTTTCCAAGACTGTAAATCTTCATGGAAGCAGACTGCCACATCTTTCTCTCACAGAGGGGCTGGCGGGTTCGAACCGCTGGACTTTCAGTTAGCAGCCAAGGGCTTAACCACTGCACCACCAGGGGCTCCCTTAGTATTCATTATTTGGTTAAAGTATTACAGCTTTGCATTTCAGTTTCTTTTCTGTCCAGCACAGTGTATTCATAGCTGTATGTCCTCCATAAAATCTTAGGAGCCTTCATTCCAGATTTGCTATGAAAATAATTACTGGGAAAATACCATGAAGATGCAATGCTTTACAGGCAGGGCAAATTTATACAAAGAAAATAACATTTCACCCAAAGAAGCTCAAAGTATTCCATGATACAGCTCTGTTAAATCCTGTGCCCATTTTACATTACCAAGCTGAACTCAATGTTTCAGTCTAAAACCAGAGTTCTTCCTTTTTTCCCTCCTTCCCTCCTTCCTGCCTGCTTGCCTCTGCTGCCTTCTTTTTCTCTTTAATTATCCAATCCACTAATATATGTATTTATTTCATAAAGTTATGTTTTTTTAATCAAAAACATCTGTCACAGGGTAATAAATAATATAGAAGAGCTTGGAATGAAAAGCAATAGTCTATCTTCCTGTCTCTCTCAACCCATTCTTCTAGAGTTTACATTTTAAAATAATTTCTGTTCTTCTGTTGGTGAACTCTCTAACTCTACCTAGTAGAATTATACTGTATTTCTTTCTTCATTTCTAAAGTCTAGAAAAACTGACTACACTAGGAAAGATAATTCACTAATATTCTCCCACCTGTTATACTTATCCTCAATGTGTGATATTTATATTACTACTTTTAGTTCTTCTATTGGCTTCATTTGTATTGTGGATTGAATTACGTCCCCCTGAAATATGTGTTAAAGTCTTAACCACTGTACCTTTAAATATGACCCTATTTGGAAACAGAGGTTTCTTTTGTTATGTGAACAAGGTCATACCAGAGTAGGGTGGGTCCTAAACCTAATCACTTCTAAGTTGTGTCTTATAAAAAGAACAAAATAGACAAAGAGACACACACACAGGGTGAAGACAGATACCACGAGAGGATCATCTACAAGCAAAATCATGCCAAGGACTGCTGGCAGTCACCAGAAACTAGGAGAGAGGCTCATGGAAGGAATCAACATGGCCAAGACTCTGATTTAGACTTTTAGCCTCCAGGGTTGTGAGAAAACACATTTCTGTTCCTTAATGTCACCCACTTGTGGTGTTTTTGTTATAGAAGAATTAGCAAACTAAGGCAATTTGTAACTCTTAATAATTTACTTCTTAATGTTAATTCAATAGCTTAGCTAATATCCGAGTCCCTGTCTACGTACACCGAAGATACTAGCAGTATTCTTCTTCTCTCTATTTTTCTTACTTCATAATGTCAATTTCTCAGTTTCTGCCAGATATATTTTACTTTATTTCCATTTTCAGGGTTAATATTTATATTATATAACAACAAATAATTGTTTTGTGTTTTGCTCAGAGTGGACTCTAAAATTTGAAAACTAATTATTAATATTTACATGTTGTTGTTTGTTGTTAGGTGCCATCAAGTTGGTTCTGACTCACAGGGACTCTATGTACAACAGAACAAACACTGCCCAGCCCTGCACCATCCTCATAATCATTGCTATGCTAGAGCCCACTGTTGCAGCCACTGTGTCAATCCATCTTGTTAAGGATCTTTCTGTCTTTTGTTGACCCTCTGTTTGCCAAGCATGATGTCCTTCTCCAGGGACCAGTTCCTCCTGATAATATGTTCATAGTATGTGAGATGAAGTCTTGCCATGTTTGCTTCAATTGAGCATTCTTCTTCCAAGAGAGATTTGTTCCTTCTTTTTGCAGTCCCTGGTATGTTAAATATTCTTTGCCAATACCACAATCCAAAGGCATCAATCCTTTGGTCTTCCTTATTCATTGTCCAGCTTACCTATGCATATGAGGTGAATGAAAACACCATGGTTTGGGTCAGGCACACTTTAGTCTTTAAAGTGACATTTTTGCTTTTTTAGCACTTTAAAGAGATCTTTTGCAGCAGATTTGTCCATTGCAATGCATCGTTTAATTTCTTGACTGCTGCTTCCATGGGCGTTGGTTGTGGATCCAAATAAGATGAAATCCTTTACAACTTCAATATTTTCTTCGTTTATCATGTGGTTGCTTATTGGTCCAGTTGTGAGGATTTTTGTTTTCTTTATGTTGAGGTGTAATCCATACTGAAGACTTTGGTCTTTGATCTTCATAGTAAGTGTTTCAAGACCTCTTCATTTTCAGCAAGCAAGGTTGTCGTCTGTATATTGCAGGTTGTTTATGAGTCTTCCTCCAGTCCTGATGCTCCATTCTTCTTCATATAGTCCAGCTTCTCAGATTATTTGATCAGCATACAGATTCATTAAGTATGGTGAAAGGATACAACCCTGACACACATTTCTTGACTTTAAGCCACACGGTGTCCCCTTTTTCTGCTTGAACGACTGCCTGTTAGCCTAAGTACAGATTCCTCATGAGCAAAATTAAGTGTTTTGGAATTCCCATTGTTCAGAATATTATTCATAATTTGTTATGATACGCGCAGTCGAATGCCTTTGCATAGTCAATAAAACACTGATATTCTGTGTTTTCAGCCATGACCCATCTGATATCAGCAATGATATCCCTTGTTCCACATCCTCTTCTGTAACTGCCTTGAATTTCTGGCAGTTCCCTGTCGATGTACTGCTGAACCACTTTTGAATGATCTTCAGCAAAATTTTGTTTGTGCATGATATTAATGATATTTTTTGATAATTTCCACATTCTGTTGGATTACCTTTCTTTGGAATGGGTACAAATATAGATCTCTTACAGTTGGTTAGCAAGGTAGCTGTTTTCCAAATTTCTTGGCATAGATGAGTGAGCACTTCCAGTACTGCATCTGTTTGTTGAAACATGTCACCTGGTATTCTGTCAATTCCTGGAGGCTTGTTTTTCACCAGTGCCTTCAGTGTAGCTTGGACTTCTTTCAGTACCATTGGTTCTTAAATGTATGCTACCTCCTCAAATGGTTGAATGTTAACCAATTCTTATTGGTATACTGACTCTGTGTATTTCTTCCATCTTCTTTTGATGCTTCCTGTATCATTTAATATTTTCCCTTAGAATCCTTCAATATTGCAACTTGAGGCTTGAATTTTTTCTTCAGTTCTTTCAACTTGAGAAATGCCTAGCATGTTCTCCCCTCTTGGTTTTCTAACTCTAGGTCTTTGCACATATCATTACAATACTTTACTTTGTCTTCTCAGGCTGCCTTTGAAATCTCCTATTCAGCTCTTTTACTTCACCATTTCATCCTTTTGCTTTAGCAACTCTCCATTCAGGAGCAATATTCAGACTCTCTTCTGACATTCATTTTGGTCTTTTATTTCTTTCCTGTCTTTTTAATGACTTCTTGCTTCCTTCATTTATGATGTCCTTTATGTCATTCTATAACTCATCTGGTCTTTGGTCATTAGCATTCAATGTGTGAAATCTATTCTTGAGATGGTCTCTAAATTCAGGTGGGATATACTCAAGGTTGTACTTTAGCCCTCATAGACTTGTTTTAACTTTCTTCAACTTCACCTTGACCTTGCATATGAGCAAGGTGGCTTGTTCCACAATTGGTCTCTGGCCTTTTGCTGACTGATGATATTGAGCTTTTCCATAGTCTCTTTCCACAGATGTAGTTGATTTGACTCCTGTGTCGTCCATCTGGCAAGGTCTCACATGTATAGTCACTGTTTATGTTGTTGAAGAAAGGTATTTGCAATGAAGAAGTCATGGGTCTTGCAAAATTTTATCATGCAATTTCTAGCATTGTTTCTATCATCAAGGACTTATTTTCCAACTATCAATCCTTCTTCTTTGTTTCCAGGTTTCACATTCCAATTGCCAGTAATTGTCAATGCATCTTGATTGCATGTTTGATCAATTTCAGAAATGGGTAAAAAAAATCTTCAATTTCTTCATCTTTGTTCTTAGTAGTTGATGCGTATATTTGAATAATAGTTGTATTAACTGGTCTTCCTTGTAGACATAAGGATATTATCCTATCACTGACAGTGTTGTACTTCAAGATAGCTCTTTTTGTGATGAATGTGACTCCATTCCTCTTCAGTTTGTCATTCCTGGCACAGTAGACCATGACTGTTTGATTCAAAATGGCCAATACCAGTCCATTTCAGTTCACTAATGCCCAGGAGTGCTCCCTGCGGCAGCACCTATACTAAAATTGAAACGATACAGAGAAGATGAGCATGGCCCCTGCACAAGGATGACATACGAATTCATGAAGCATTTCATATTTTTTGGAGCCCTGGTGGCTCAGTGATTAAGAACTTGGATGCTAACCAAAAGGTCGGCAGTTCAAATCCACCAGCCACTCCTTGGAAACCTTATAGGGCAATTCTACGCTGTCCTATATGATCTCTGCGTGGTTGCTATGAGTTGGAACTGACTCGACAAGCACATAACAACAATAACAACAATGCCTAGGATATCAGTCTTTATGCATTCTATTTCATTTTTGACAACTTCCAATTTTCCTAGATTCATACCTCGTACCTTCCATGCTACAATTATTAATGGATGTTTGCAGCTGTTTCTTCTCATTTTGAGTCATGCCACATCAGCAAATGAAGGTCCTAAAAGCTTGACTCCATCTATGACAGTAAGGTCAAATCTACTTTGAGGAGGCAGCTCTTCCCCTGTCATATTTTGAGTGCTTTCCATCCTGAGGGGGTTCATCTTCTGGCACTATATCAAACAATGTTCCATTACTCTTCAGAAGGTTTTCAGTGTCCAGGTTTTTCAAAGTAGACTTCCAGGTCCTTCTTCCTAGTTTGTGTTTGTCTGGAAGCTTCACTGAAGCCTGTCCACAAAGTGTGACCCTGCTGGTATTTGAGATACTGGTGCTAAAGCTTCCAGTATCACAGCAACACACAAGACAACACAGTACAACAACTGAAAGACACAAGGTGGAATATTTACATAATTATGATTATATAAATATTGTTCAGTGCTGAGAAAAATGGTATACTAGCATAACTTTTTAAAAATCTTTTACTAATGAAGACAATATCATGGTTTCTATGCCACTAAAAAGAAATGATCCTAGTATCAAGGTCAAATCGATTCTACTTGCTGTCTACTAACAGCTTATAAACATAATACATTTTGTTGTTGTTGTTGTTAGGTGCTGTTGAGTCAGTTCTGACTCATAGTGACCCTGTGCACAACGGAGTGAAACACTGCCTGGTCCTGCGCCATACTCACAATTGTTGTTATGCTTGAGCCCATTGTTGCAGCCACTGTGTCAATCCATCTATTTGAGGGTCTTCTTCTTTTTTTGCTGACCCTCTACTTTACCAAGCATGATGTCCTTCTTCAGGAACTGATCCCTGCTGATAACATGTCCAAAGTATGTAAGATGTAGTCTCACTAACCTTGCTTCTAAGGAACGTTCTGGTTGTACTTCTTCAAAGACAGATTTGTTCGTTCTTTTGGTAGACCATGGTATATTCAATATTCTTCACCAACACCACTATTTTAAGGCATCAATTCTTCTTCAGTCTTCCTTATACATTGTCCAGCTTTTGCACGCATACGAGGCAATTAATAAGAGCATGGCTTTGGTCAGGTGCATCTGAGTCCTCACAGTGACATCTTTGCTTTTCAACACTTTAAAAAAGTCTTTTGCAGCAGATTTGCCCAATGCAATGTGTCTTTTGATTTCTTGACTGCTGCTTCCATGGATGTTGATTGTGAATCCAAGTAAAATGAAATCCTTGACAATCTCAATCTTTTCTCTGTTTATCATGATGTTGCTTATTAGTCCAGTTGTGATGATTTTTGTTTTCTTTATGTTCAGGTGTAATCCATACTGAAGGCTGTGGGCTTTGATCTTCATCAGTAAGTGCTTCAAGTCTTCTTCCCTTTCAGCAAGCAAGATTGTGTCATCTGCATAACTCAGGTTGATAAGGAGTCCTCCTCCAATCCTGATGCCCCATTCTTCTTCATATAGTCCAGCATCTCGGATTATTTGCTTAGCATACAGATTGAATAGGTATGGTGAAAGGATACAACCCTGACACACACCTTTCCTACAGTATCCCCTTGTTCTATTCTAATGACTGTCTCTTGATCCATGTACTGATTCCTCATCAGCACAATTAAGAGTTCTGGAATTTCCATTTTCAGCAATATTATCTATAATTTGTTATGATCCACACAGTCGAATGCCTTAGCATAGTCAATAAAACACAGATCAATAAACTGTCTTTCTGATATTCTCTGCTTTCAGCCAGGATCCATCAGACATCAGCAATGATATCCCCGGTTCCATGTCCTCTTCTAAATCCAGCTTGAATTTCTGGCAGTTCCCTGTCAATATACTACTGAAACTTGTCTGCCATGGGTGACCCTGCTGGTATTTGAAGTATCTGAATACCGATGGCATAGCTTCCAGCAACACAGCCACACACAAGCCTCCACAGTATGACAAACTGACAGACACATGAGAGTAACACATTTTAGTTTGGTGCTTATTTGGACCTATAATGCACCTTCATGCTATGTTCAAGTTTTATATCTACTGTAGTATCTTCCTTTGCATGAAGTTTCCCTTCTTTCTGGAATCTTCCTTTTGGAACCTTTTGGCCTCCCTTTTGATTATCTTAAGTAACTAATTTCCTACTTGGTCCCTTGCACAGTAAATGAAAGAATAGCAATGCATGTTGGTCTCTTGTTCATGGCATATATCCACTTACCTTGTAAGTGTTGTATCCCACCTGGTGCTTGGGTAAAGCCATTATTCTATAAGGTCAGAGGCTCTGGTTAATGTAGAACATTATATGGCTAGTGAAACCAGTTAGCATCAGCCCACAGACTTCCTTCTTTCCTGTGAATTAAGAATTTTGGTTGGAGCCATAATGTGTAAGTCATCATGACAATGTACATGGCAATCAGTTTGTACATGCATAGTAATGGCAGAGAGGGAGGGAAAGCAAATGAGTACAAGTTGCTATTTCCTCAATGAAGGAAATATTGTTTTCTTCCAGAAGCAAATCTTGAGACAAGCATTTAAAAGCACATTCTGTATTTGGAAAAGCTTGGAACACTAGTAGGGAACTAGGAAAGTAGATACTTGGAAGGGAAAGCAACCGTGAGCAACAAGATTTAATCCCATAGGGATGCTTGGGGAAAACTGCAACACAGATATCTCAAAATTATCCCACAAGAGGGGTGAAAGAAATGGAGAATTCATATACCAAATCCTGAGAATCTTTGGTTAACGATTCAAATGATCCAATGGAGTATTAATTCCTACAGAACTTTGGCCTCTATATATAGACAGAACATCCCAACTGGAAGTGAAAGAGAGCATGGAAATAGTACCAGAGATGCAGATGGAACTCTGCAGATGGAACATATCTGACAAAGACATGTTAAACCTGGCAGGTTGAACTCTGCCAATGCTTTATGAAAAGTTAGAAGAATATAGATGGAGCAGTGGAAACATTTTCTATAAAAGAGTACAGGGATAGCCAACAATTGCTATGTGGATGCTAACCTAGTACATTGATCTTGGGAAAATGATCATTGATCAAGTGATTTTTTTTTTCTGTTCTCAGAAATAATTGTATTTGGCTTCTTGCCATTTCCTGGGTTCTAGCCATGTAGCTAGAGTCCTGTCGAAAGTGTCCACCTAACCTACAATCCAGTGATTTTAGTTTCACTGTAGTAGAGGTAATCTGGTTCCTCAGAGTCCATCCTAACAAGTACGCAATTGTTTGCCTTCACCACATCCATTCACTTGCTACTCCCTTTCCTAAATGTACCAACAATTTAATTTCCCCATTATGTTCATCCATTACACAGAGCCTCCCTCCATGCCAGTTGTAGGGAATGCTTCTGATTTTTTTCAGGGAATCAGCGTATTTCATCCCCCTGCCCACAATCAGGTTGTGGATACACAACCTAGTTCGTCAATTTAGGCTGAATGCAAAGATTAAGTTTGGAATCTGGGAGTTCTCAGCTGAAATTCTCAGATAAATGATACCTGTCGCCCAGATCAAATAATGTATAAAGATTATTCTGCTACTTTTGGTCTCTTCCAGTTACTCAACCTGCTGTTGTTGAGTCAGTTCCAATTCATAGCCACCCTATAGGAGAGAGACAAACCGCCCCGTAGGGTTTGCAAGCCTGTAAATCTTTAAGGAAATAGACTGTCACATCTTTCTCTCATTACAAACACCCCCTCATTACAAACTTATTGTTCAAGGCAGCTGGAGTTGAGATTTCTGTTACTTCAAGAACAAAGACTTCCACTGCTATATCCTCAATGTGTTATGTGTTTCCAGCTGACAACAAGTAATAACTTTATCTGCTAGTTTATCACGGAGTCCTATGGACAATTAGAAGCTTATCCTATAATATAAACAGAGATCAGATTTCCTTTCATTCCAATTTAAGTTAATGAGCTTTTCTAAATATTCCATATTCGCCTGACTTTTTTTTAACTCATTCACTACTATCAATTTCTGTACTAGCCAGTACTTCTTGTGTTATAAATACAGAAAACTCCATTAGAACTGTTGTGAGCAAAAAGTGGAAACTGTAACCACATTTTCTGAAAATTACTAGTAATAGAACTAGTTCTAGGCATAGCTAGGTTCATGAGTTCAAGAGACGTCACCTCCATCATCTCTCAGTTTTCCACTTTTCTCTTAAATAGGCTTTCTGCTTGAGTTAGCTAGATGATGACTTTTGTTAGTTGCCGTCAAGTTGATTCAGACTCATGGTGATCCCATGTGTGCAGAGTAGAACTGATCCATAGGGTTTTTAAGGCTGTGACCTTTTGGAAGCAGATCACTAGGTCTGTCTTCCAAGGCACCTCTGGCTAGGTTCAAACCAAAAACCTTTTGGCTAGTAGTTGAGTGCTTAAGTATGCAACCCAGAGATTCCAGATGGTGACTAATCCCTCCATATTTATTGCCAATCATCCTAGACAGAGCATTGAATTAGGCTGATTGAGTAGGCTTTGGACATGTGGTCACTAATGGAGCGAGTGATGGGGGAAAAGTCTCATCAAAACATGGATATTAAAATTTAGGAAGCAATGGTTTATCAAAGGAAAATCAGAATGACGATCCCTGAAAAAGTATTTTATAATTTGAAGTCTGATTTTTTTTAAAAATTGTATTGTAAATTTTCTCTGTATATACAATGAAAACCGTGAGAGCCAGAACTCGACAGGACTGCCTTGTTTTATATATATATAATATATATATATATACTTTAGATGAAGG